AAAAAAAAAAAAAAAAAAAAATGAACGGGGACCACATAAGGAAAAATTATACTGAGGAATTTAGGCATTGTTTACAATAAATGAGCAGCCTTTGATATGTTTCAGTCAGGGTAATAATAGGTCAGATTTGTCCTGGCTCACTCTGGTAGTAATATTGAGGATGAATTTGATGAATATGGATGGAAATAGGTGAATCAGAGACCTAAGTAATATGGTAAATTAGACATCTATTAATAGCCTAAAGACTTTTAAAAGGAAAAGGAGTATTAATCCTCTCACAAATACCACAGATCTAAAATCTAATTTCAGAGAGCTAAGAAAGAAATAAGAATAGAAAATAGGACTCACCTGTAAATTTTAATGTTTATATTTTGTTAGAAGCAACTTTATAAAATCTTAGATCCAATGATTGAAAATCTTTAGCTTTTTTAGATGAAGTCTCGCTCTATCGCCCAGACTGGAGTGCATTGGTGCAATCTTAACCCACTGTAACCTCCGCCTCCAGGTTTAAGCGATTCTCTTCCCACAGCCTCCAAAGTAGCAGAGACTACAAGCACCTGCCACTGCGCCCTGCTAATTTTTGTATTTTTAGTAGAGACGTGGTTGCTCATACCTGTAATCCCAGCACTTTGGGAGGCCAAGGCTGGTGGATTACCTGAGGTCAGGAGTTCAAGACCAGCCTGGAAAATCATTAGCTTTTAAGCAGTAAATTTTTATTTTCCCTCTTTTACATATACAGCAAAGTGAGGCCCCCTTTTCAAGTTAGATGATTATCAATGTCACATAATTTAAATGTTTATTACAAGGTAACCATTTTGTGTACTGTGATGAAAATGAGCAGTGTATAGATAGAATCAGATAGAAAGAGATGGATAGAAGGGCAAATCCAAGAAGTATTTATAGGAAAGAAAGAAGTCTTAGCAACATATTTGCTTTAGAAGTAGTATGGCCTTAAGTCGCAGATGTGGTTTATTTTCCTTTTGTTTCTAATACCCACCACTGACTCTCAACACGCTGCACAAAGACATTCATTCACACAGTGCCTTCCTTCTGAGAGTTCTCAGAAAATTCTGATGGAATGAATGGACAGATGGATGAATGACAAGGGAGAAATATGTTCATGTTTTGAAGATAGCTTTGCAATAAACAGATTCTAGTTGAAGTTTTTTTTAAGGTATCTTTGGGAGTGTTTAGCATCCCAGTCTGCATAGTTTTAACTTATATATAGGGTCTGTTATCACATGCTAGAGGCTTGCATGTTATAACAACATGGAAAAGAGACAGGCTGGAGACCCAGCCATATGGAAAAAGCAGCCCTAAATATTCAAAAGGGAGATGAATCTGAAAGATTTGGTGTAAAGGTAAGGAATGCAGCTCCTGAGTTTCACAGCGCATAAGCTAATGTACACACACATGACCCTTTGTCACCAAGAAGAGATTATATGTATCTTCAAAACATGAACATATTTCTCCCTTATCATTCATCCGTCTGTCCATTCATTCCACAGGCATTTTCTAAGAACTCTTAGAGGGAAGGCACTATGTGTGTGTTTTTGTGTGGTGTGTTGAGAGACAGTGGTGGATATTAGAAGAAAGAAACCTCATCTGCAACCTAGTGTGTGCTAGCAGTGTCTCTTCTTAACTGGAAATTTAGTAAAGAAGAGATTTGTGATATAGTTTGCTTTTTCACAGTTTACGCATCTTATTTAAAATTTATCCTTTTACAATTTTAAATGAGTTGAAAACACTTTCCAAGAATTAATTTGCCTGCATGGGTGGTACATGAACATCTTTGTAATATGAGGATACTATTTTGTGCACTGGAACATGCATGTTTACAGTGACTGACACTGTTTTTTACACACTGACCACAGTCTAGACAATCTATCTGAAGTTTCATGCAGAGTTTTTCATGAGAACACTTTTCAGGTCTGACATCATAATGGGCCACCCAGATTGCTTCTACTGAATGTGCTCAGAGAGGCAGCAGGGGTTTTGGAGGCCGAAGGATCTGAATCACAGTACTGCTACCAATTGGCTGCTGTTTTTTTGCAAATGATTGGCCCCAGTTTCCTCATCTAAAAAATAAAAGATAATAATTCTGTGGTAAGTTATATGAGAAAACAGAAGTAATGACCTTATCATGGGAATGGGGAGTGGTACTGGAGGGTCACTTTCTGTGCTGGGTCCTCAGATTCATCAAGATTCTCAATTTTAATATTTTGATATTAACTCCAAATGACGTTAGACAATTAATTATAGTGATACTTTGAATACTTGATATAGAATCAAGGGGTAACTTTCATTATATATTTTAAAACTTATATTCCATATATCACTCCCTATAATGGTCTAGAAATATTTTTTAATAAATAGTATAAATGTATTGTGAACTATGCTTGTATATGACAATAAATTTGCTTATTTGAGGACATATTAATTTATTCAAGGAAAATAATGAAATATACAATTTTAATAACTCTATTTTGTCATTTTAAAATATTTATACAAGAAATTTCCAAGCCAGCATGTAAAAGAGCCTGAATCATTATCATTCCTGATGCCATAACACTTACGAAGATAAATATTAATTTCTTTTTCCTCCATTTATCTCATGACAGTAATATTTTATTTAGCTACTGTTATCAGAATATTGGAAATTTTATATTTTTTTCAGCTAGTCTGTTTGTCAGAGTCTTTAAGCACTGAAATTTAAAATTGTTTTTAAGGGGAATACTTGTAAAGTATATTAAATATTCCCTTCCCTCGGGTGTGGCAGCTGTAATCTCTTCTTGGTGACAGAGGGTCATGTTTGTGCACATTAGCTTATGGCCTGTGAAAGTCAGGGGCTGCATTCCTTACCTTTATACCAAACCATTCAGGTTCATTTCCCTTTTGAATATTTAGGGCTGCTTTTTCCATACGACTGGATCTCAAGCCTGTTTCTTTTCCGTGTTGTTGTAACATGCAAGCTTCTAGCATGGCTTCTGCTACTATGGGGTGGGAGACTAATAGGTTCTAAGTGGGGATTTGAGAGTCTTTTCCACTAGAATCTATAGGTTAAAAGATGCACATTTTAATATATAGACATGGTGACGTCTCTAACAAACACTCAGAGAATTTCATTTATTTAAGTGTGGGTAGGTATTATGCTATGTTCTGAATAGCTGGACTTTCTAGAAAGATAACTTCTTTTAAAATTAGATATTACTTAATTTGGAATGTGATCATTTCATAAATTATCAACTGCTTAAAGTCATTTTATTTCTAGAAAATTCATTTCATTGAATGATCAATTAGTAGTACTTTGTTGTCATTACCAACATCTACAGTCAACTTTGAGATTTTATTATTGGGCAGACAAATAATATTGGATCAGTATGATAGACAGGTACTCTTTTAAGTCTTATTATATTATATTATTATTATTATTTGAGATAGTGTCTTGCTTTGTTGCCCAGGCTGAAGTGCCCTGGTACAGTCTCAGCTCACTACAATCCCTACATCCTGAGTTCAAGTAATTTTTCTGTCTCTGCCTCAGCCTCCTGAGTAGCTGAGATTACAGGCATGTGCCATTACACCCACCTAATTTTGGTATTTTTAGTAGAGACAGCCTTTCACCATGTTGGCCAGGCTGGTCAAGGAATGATCACTTGAGATCAGGAGTGATCTCAAGTGATCTGCCTGCCTGGGCAACAGAAATTTTTTAAAGTATAAAGTAATATGAGCTCTAATCTATTGTTTTATTTAGAGAAAGGAATACTCAGCCGCTGCTTTTATGTTACTTTTTTCTTGTTAATGGCCAAATCCTTACTTTCGAAGGAAGATTTTTATTTTTAGAGAAAGAAATTTCTAAAAGTTAGCTGTATTCCTGAATATTAGCTGTTTCAAATATTGTTATATTATGCATAAACAACAATGCAGTTAAGGGAATACCAACATCTGGATGCTTTTTATAGCTGTAATTCTACTAATTAGAGAATTAAATGAAACCTAAATTTAGTATTTCTGATCTGGGAGTTGAATATCAATTTTTAAATAGTGTATAATACTAAAGTTGTATGTAAAGATTTTTCATCATTGGTTACTGAATTCACCTAATTCTGTCTGTTTGGAGTTGTACATTCTGGGCCATGACATAAAAGTTAATAGGCAAAATAGTGAAACACAGCCAGTGGTTCTGTAGGGAAGTAAATTCCATCCTACCTCTTAATTGACCTGAGAGAGAAAGGCGGGGCCAGGAGAAGGGGAAATAGACTTACTCTTATGTTGGGAGTTGAGCAGCTTGTGACAGTAGAAACCTAAAAACCCTACTGCCATATTTATTCATTTATTTATTATTTAATGCACCATTTGACCATATTTACATTCTTAATTTGGAAAGGAAAATGTTCTGCTTAAAGAGATAGTATATAGTAAATGAGTTGCACACTGTTTTATGAAGTTCATTCTATCTTGCAGCCAAGGATGAGAACCACTATTAGCAAAAGTGTTGAATTTCATTAGAGGATTCACCTTGAGTAGTGTCGAGAGATTTTGGTTAGGCTTTTTATACTGCTTTAAAGCTTTGGTGAGATTTTTAGCTTAGGAGCTAATTACTATTTATACCAGTTCTTGTGAATACATATGATTCTCATAAAAAAGAAATGTATTATAATTGCCTTTTAGGAAATTTCTTTCAAAATTGCCTATTAAAATGTTAATATTAACCTTTATTTGTGCATTGACTTAAAAATCACTGGAAGTACTAGTTTATTTATAAATACATTTTGTGGCATTTATACATTTTTAGGATCTTTAAAAGGTAGTTTCTTATACTACTTATTTATTGTGCAACAAAGGAGAGAGAGCAGCTTAGGAATTCCTAAAGTGGGTTCTTAATTTGGAATATTAGAAATGATACCATATCTTCTAGGCAATCAGAGTGATCAGTTTATGTCATACTATTTAAAATGCTATCATATAGTTTTTCTTTCCATTTCTGTATATTATGTTTCTGTGGGATTGGGAAACTATGTGTTAGGAAAGTGGGCGGTCGAGGATAAATTCTTAATGCTTCATAATGAGAATGTCTAAGTAGAAACACACAATATTTCAGATCTTCAACTGTATTTGCCAGTCACTTACCTGAAAGACAAGCATTTGAACATGCAGGAGCTGCCATATCATGACTGGGTGTCATGGCAGCCACTGCCATTTCTTGTACTGTCCTAAGGTCAGATCAAAGCAAGCAGAACTCTCCTGCTCTGAATCTATCATAGACAATTGTGTTAGAGTATGGTGAACCAGTGACTCGGAAATAGTGATCGTTTCTAGATGTGCTTTTGTGAAGTATATTTCTGAATTATATATTGTATTACAGGAGTCATAATGGTTCTCCCAAGGACAGTTATCCATGTGTTAATATCTCACACTGATTAATCCTTATCAACTAATCAGAAAAATCATGGTTGTTCACTTTTTAAAAATATATAGAATACAGTCCTGTAAGTGAAGGTTTATGTTTTGCTATATTGGAAGAGAAAATTTTAGATGAAACCAGATCTTTCTTTTTGCTGACATTATTTTGGTAGGACCAGACGGATCATACTTCTTCAGGTCATCATCCAAGCAAAAAAAGAAAGGTAGCAGAGAGTGACTTTTCTAGTGCATCTGTTCTTATTAAGTAATTTAATGCTGCAAAAGCAAAAATGGGATGTATCGGAATATCAGAGTAATATTGTTGTAAGGATATGGAGATTTTAATCTAAATTTTAAAAGTAAATAAATATGAAAAGTTACTTTCATATGTGTTGTACAATGAAAATTTGTTAAAGTTTTCTTAAACTTCCGTGTTAACATTCTGAGTCTGCCTATGTTCATATACACTTTACATTTTTGTACTTGCTCTGCTTTTATGTTCAGCAGAACTTTTCAAACAATTTATCTACTATAGAATATCTATATTAACTGAAAGAAGTAGATTTGCAAAAAAAAAAAAAAAGGCTGTTGGGAGAGCTAAGGTATATCTATATGTCAGAATGTTAATGCCTTAAGGGACTTTAGGCTTGACCTTGTTTAACCCTTTTATTTTACAGTAAGGGTGCTGAGGCCCAGGGCATTAAGTGTCTTGTCCAAATTTAGTTTCCTACTTAGTGACAGAGCCAAAGCTGGAAGAAAAACTCTGATCATTTCCCCCTTAAAGTTATTTTTCATCATAGCATTCTGTTTGGAAGAAATAGGGCAACTCTTAATTTACAAATAAGTAAGTTGCTTGATTAGAAAGTAACAAATAGTGCTCACTTTGGCAGCATGTATACTAAAATTGGAATGATACAGAGATTGGCGTGGCCTTTGTAGGGATGGCACGCAAATTCATCAAGCGATCTATATTTTAAAAAAATACAAATTTTAAAAAGAGACTAACAAATACCAAATATTGCCCGCATACATTTTATATTTTAATGTGTTTTTTTTTGGTTTTGCAGCATTTCAGAAAAGAAAATTAAAGGTTTCGTTTTGCTTTTTAAGTAGTTTGGTGCAATAACTTTCTACCTGACTTTCTTATTTTTCCTATCAACTTATATTTCTGAGACTAAGTATCACATTTGTGTGTTCTGTAGATGTGTGAAAACTGTTAGTACTTAATGGCAAGCTGTGTGATTTAATCATGGTTTAAATCTCCTCCAACATTGTCCCAGCTTGGATATTGTGAAAGGAGATGTTCCTTGCAGAGCCTGTTATTTTAATAATGTAGTCTAACTCATATAATACAGTATCTATGACAATATTTACAATTATATTTTGATATCAGTGCAGTAACAGATAAAATTTATAAGCCAGTTGTAATCTATTTGTCAAACAGTAGGTCCCTAATTGATTTAAAAAAAAAAGCCATTAGATAAAATAACTTTTTTTCTTATAATATTTATAATCTTGTTAACCTTTGGTATTCTAAAAATGTATAGTGGATCAAATTGTTCTTGCCTATTATTTAGAATTTCTTGTAGTTTTTAGATTTACTGTAAATAATGAGTGTTTTCAGATACACCACACAATGGCGACTTGTCAACTACTGTATTTATATGTGAGATAGACCAGTTTTAGAGATAGCCACATGATACCAATATATGAACTTCAGTCTCTTAGAAGACAAATAATGGCTTTTTCAATTTCTCTTTCAGAACAAAGGAAGAATTATGCACGGGACAGTGTCAGCAGTGTGTCAGATATATCTCAATACCGTGTTGAAGTAAGATGCTTTTCTGTTTGCTAGTATTTAGAGTGACCCTTGAGGAACATAAAAATTGGAAGTTAAATCAGAATTATGCTTTATTTCATTTTTACAATGTCTTTTAAGTTTCATTGACATTTTTGTTTAGATTTTTTAAAACAGATGTTTCATGGTCTGTTTTCATAAAGAATGATTTAAAAATCATAACTACTACTCATTTATCATTGCCTCTCTTATTTCATTTAAAACAGGATAAGGACTTCTACTTTGTACTCTAGAATCTTCTTGAAATCAAGCCTTTGATAGTTTCATTAAACAGTTTAAAGTGTAATTAAAGTTATTACTAGTTCTAGTTAAATAACAGCTTCTTTTTTAGTTTTTGCTCTGCTTTCTTTTAAGATATTTGCTCTTGATTGGAATCTCGCTAGATGACCTCTGCTTATAGTAGAAAATATTCAAGCAGGGAAGCAATTTTTAAATTGCTCTTATTTTCAGTTTTCTACCTACCTCAAGCATGCTTAGTTAAATTTAAGCAGTTTTGTTTCAGTAAGTGGTTTTAGTGGATTGAATAGTTTGACAGTTGCTATAGACTAGAATTAGCTATAGACTGTTGCTACAATCAGTGTCCATAGTTTTAAAGCTGTCATACAGATAACCTGCTGTTTAAATGCTGCTGTGTTCAGCATTAAAATAACCATAATAGAGTATAAAAAAGGGGGAAAGTATATTTTAAGAGAGTATTATTTAAGCTGTTTAGAATTTGTTTTTACGTATTGTTTATGTAGTTCAACATGTCTCAGTATGAAACAGATTTAGGTGTCTTATGAGTCAAAATGCCATTTCTTCTATTCAACAAAAACCAGTTTGGCTTTATTCTCTCAATAAGATAGTCATGAAGTTTTAAGAGTACTTTGTGTTTGTCCTTCTCTGCTAGCTGACCTCAGGTTAATTTGATTTTCTTTTGGAAAGTGTGTGCTAAGAGGTTGTATGTGTTTGTGTTATAAATCATTTTCCTTTTTACGAATCATAAGCACTTGACTACCTTTGTTCTGGATCGGAAAGATGCTATGATCACTGTGGATGATGGAATAAGGAAGCTGAAATTGCTTGATGCTAAGGGCAAAGTATGGACTCAAGATATGATTCTTCAAGTAGATGACAGAGCTGTGAGCCTGATTGATTTAGAATCAAAGGCAAGTTTGTAAAATGTATACTATTTTATTTTCAAGAAAGCCTCACAAATGTTAATGTTTATAATCAGATCAGATTGTTTGAAAATGGGTGGAAATTTGACAAAATAAAATATTTACTTTATTTATAGAATGAACTGGAGAATTTTCCTCTAAACACAATCCAGCACTGCCAAGCTGTGATGCACTCATGCAGCTATGATTCAATTCTTGCCCTGGTATGCAAAGAGCCAACCCAGAACAAGCCAGATCTTCATCTCTTCCAATGTGATGAGGTTAAGGTAAAAGAATGGTGAAATTTTTTTTCCTCTTTAAGCAGATATTCTGGCAGCTTTTCAATTACCTATTTTGATAATATATCTGGATACTAGGGACTAGATTTTTAGTTTCTGAGAAACTCATAATAAAAACAAATACCTTAGTATCTTCCTTAGGATTTCTGTGGCAGGTAAATAAAGAAATTAGGGTGATATTAATAAAATGAGGGGCAACACAGTGGCTCACACTTGTAATCCCAGTGCTTTGGGAGGCCAAGGCTGTAAGGTGGCTTGCGGCCAGGAATTCAAGCCCAGCCTGGACAACAAAGCAGGACCCAGTCTCTACTAAAAAGGTTTTAAAAATTAGCCAGATGTGGCTGTACATACTTGTAGTCTCACCTACTCAGGTGACTGAGGGAGGAAGATCTCTTGAACCCAGAGTTGGAGATTACAGTGAGCTATGATCACCCCTCTGCACTCCAGCCTGGGCAACAGAATAAGACTGTGTGTCTTAAAAATAAGATGCATTCTGTTTATTTTTTAAAAGGGTAGATAATATATTAAATTCACATCGAGTGCCTTATAATTAAAAATTGATTATTCAGAAATCATGCTTTATAGAAAATAATCATGCAATCCTAATTTATTCTGCACTAATGACATAGCATGGATCACTGCAATGAAGCACTTAGACATTTCCCACGATATTGATTTAAAGTTCACCATTTAATTATGTGGCTTGAATCATTGCTCAAGATTTGTAATTCCTAAATGATATGTGAAAATAGTTGAACCAGTAATAATAGGCTAGCTCCTGAAAGTTTCTACTTGAAAGTACAGTGTAATTTCAAATGATTATAATTTGTGATGCTTTATTGGACCTTAGAAGTTATCTTCAACCTTGAATGTGTTTATTTCCTGAGTTGTTTTCTTTGAAAGAGAAATCATTTTATGTTAATTGGTACTTTGCCAAAGCAGTCATTTAACATTTTGATGATATATTATAAAATATCCATGTAATTTTATTTTATAAAGAAATTCTAGAAGATTAGGACAGTCACTTGATCTTTTCTTTATTTTTGACATTTAAACATGGTAGATAAAGTAAGATTGACTGTAAACAGTGTATTTTATAATTTTCTTATTTCGATTTACATCATAGATGACTTTCTAAAAATCTTCTTTCAAAAGAACTGGCATTTAGGTAATTTGTGTAAGTGATAGTCATCAGATTTTTTTATAGTGCCTTTTGAAAGTCATAAGTATATTATAATTTTTGAAAGGTTAGATATAATCAACAAATATTAAAGGGAGTATTTTGCTTTGATATATAGTGAAATTAAATTCAAACATTTTGTAAACCAGAGGCCTAAGTTAAAACACATTTCAAATTTGATGTTTGTATTTGTGCTCTAAAAAGCCCCTTGGGAGCTAAGAGTTACTATACTCTGTAAAGTTTCTAGATTTTAAGTTTGGGAACAAAGGACTTGCTTTACTTGATATGGAATGGTAATGGTAATGGATTCAAAACGGATTTACTGAATATAGTTTTGTCCTAACCCCAAAAACTCACATACCACTAAGCACTAGATGCATTTACTCATTAGTTTCATACTCTGCATATGAGACATTTTCCCCTTGGCTGGTTAAAAATATAAAGGCAATGAAAAATAAAGTTTCTTTTATAAAGCTCATTGTACAATATTGCTTTTGATTTTTAAAGTTTCTTTTTATATGACTTCATGCAATGCTTCTGCCCACCTTTGCAGTAAAATTTTTCTTAGAAATATAATAGCCCCAGTATACGAAGTTGAAGATTCCTAGGCATCTTCAGTTTTTGTTTTGGGGTTATTTAAAAAAAAATTTAAATACATATTTTTTTCATCTTTAGTTTTAGTATCCTATGTAACAGAAAGCCTTTGACATGATGTTTGTACTGTCTTATTGAAACTAAATGCTCTTAGGAAGTCACACTGGAGTGGGATGCATTGGCACTCTCATTTAACTAGCAATGTGACGCTCACCAGGCCCATTCATACAAGTACTCCTCAGTTTTATTAACTAGAAGGAACTGATGAGATGCTCTTTTAAGTATCCGACCATTTCTCAAATTTTATGATTATCAATGCTTACTGTAAAAGAAATACAACATACATATTTGAGAAAACATAATTATAGAGAACAAAGAGGCACAAACATAGATGGTACATCTCATCAACAGTCTAAGATAGAGTAATAATTCCTGGCTCTAAACAAACTTTGCAACCAAACAAAAACTGCTTATCTCCTAATCTCATGTTGATCCTCAAGAAAAACCCAATTGAATGTTCTTGTTGGAAAAATTGTTTGTAGAAAGTTAACTTTTACCTGAAGTCACAAAATAAAGTGGTTATTTAAAGAGGCACAACCTAGTATTGGGGTTTATCTCATCAGTGTAGTGGATTTGCCTTAAACCCAAAGATTTGTTTTGCTGGGTTAATGGGTGTCCAATGGATCTTGAGGCTGAGAAAGGGAAGGAACTCTGTTGTAGGTGTGAGGGTGCTTAACTCCTTAATTTCTTCCTAATTAGAGATTTTTACACAATTTTATTTTTAGCCTGTGCATATCTTTTCTATTATTGCCTTTATTTAAGAATAGTTTCTTTTAAAGATAATCTTTAAAAATTTCTTCAGTTTTAAAAATCTTTAAAATCTTTTAAAATCTTTAAAGTCATTATAAAGTTCACCATTATAAAAACTGCAAGAGTCATGTTTTGCAAGATTTTTGTGAAAAGACTTTTTGCATCAAGAGACTTATTGATTCAGACAAGAAATAATCCCTTTTTCTGTTTTAACCTACATATCAAGACTCAGAAAAATCTATAAACTTCCAGGTAACTTGTGTCTCCTTGCAGGCAAACTTAATTAGTGAAGATATTGAAAGTGCAATCAGTGACAGTAAAGGAGGGAAACAGAAGAGGAGGCCTGATGCCCTGAGGTAAAAACACTAGAAGAAGTCAAGGGGTAGAATTGATGGCTTTGTTTCTAAGGCTTTTTTTCCCCCAAAGGGTTAGAAAAGTTATTTTCTATGGAAGTATATTACTCTATTTTGTAGATCATAACCTGTAGACTCAACACGGTTGCTCTCCCAAGTTTGTCAGTGTGTTTACTCCTTTTCTCTCCATATTTTTGGTCTTTCTCTGATATGGCTTCACTTGTGTTGGAAGTCAGGGTCATGAAAGATGAGTGGCGTTTTAAGAGAAGGTATCCTAGGGAAATACAAGCTAGACAGTAGGATTGTAATTGGTCCATGGCCCTTCCAAATCACATGAAGACTCAAAGAAAATCAACCTAGTTTTCAGCTATTATTTTTTTTTTTGTATTTCAGATGCATTTATAAATGTACATAATATGGAATGCTTAGGAAATCCTTATTACCTCTTGATATAATTGTTTTTGAATTTTAATAACTAGTATCACAAGCTAATTGATATGTTATAGAAATAGAGATGGTAAAAATTCTATTTGTTTTCATCTTTTTAAGGATGATTTCCAACGCAGACCCTGGTATACCGCCTCCACCCCGAGCTCCTGCCCCTGCACCCCCTGGAACCGTGACCCAGGTGGATGTTAGAAGTCGGGTGGCAGCCTGGTCTGCGTGGGCAGCCGACCAAGGGGACTGTGAGTCTTCCTAGAATTAATACTTATTGAACACTTTCTTTGGGTTGGGACATAGTTCTTGCTTTCAAATTCTGAGGCTGATTTCAGAACAGAAGCTTGAGGTTAGTTTTAAAAAATCAAATCTTAGATAAAAGAAAGCTAAGCCTGGAATTTTGTTAAGATTATTATCTGTAAGTGTTTAGACCCACGATTTAATAAATATGGTATTAGGGTTAGTATCTTTTTTTTTAATGCTAAGAGAGGAAGTTTCACTTGATCGACAATTAAAAAGATGGTATCAAAATGGGCACCAAAATATGTACAGGTTTTTTTAAAGATTGTACTTCAAATTATTTCCATTTATTATTCTGTAACTACAGTGCCTTTTTGGACAAGTTTGTCACATTCATGGACAGGTTGTCAGGACAGTGGTTGGCTGTTGACAGTGGAGACAAGTACAGCTGTACTTGTCAAGTGGGCCCTATGGGTGCGGCATCATTTCACCTTGGCATTCTGTTTAAAAGCAATTATAGCATAGAACTTAGTGTTACTTTTTATGTTAGAATATTTTACTAGAATCTGAAATTTTAAGGCAACTAAAAAATGCCTTAAAATATGTTTTGTCTGGTCTCTTCATTTTGAGGATGAATACATTGTGATTCAGCAGGCTTGAATCTGATGAGCTTTTGCTTCTACTCCAGTGGGACTTCTTAACTTTCTTATTCTTTATCCAGTAAAATATTATTCATACAGACTATCTGGCACTGTAGTTAAACAATATAATTCATTACTAAAAATGAGTGACCTCGGACTCTACTTTGGATGTTCAGGGTAGAAGCTGGGCTCTGAAGCAAGACCTGATCTACCTGTGTGGTCTTGGAAAGTTATATCTCTGTACTTCAGCCTCATCTCTAAAATGGGGATAAATAATTCATGGATTGCTATGAATCTGAAAGTAAATAATGTTAATGATAGTACCTACCACAGAATAGTAAGCATAATTAGTGGTTCTCATTTTGCCAAATTGAGTTCATTTTCTTTCTGAGTTGTTTTCCCTGTTATTTACGTTTCTTATATTCTTAAAGGTTTTTTCCTTTAAAGGAAAAGCTGAGCTTCCAAAGACATGAAAAAAAGAACTCTTTGATGCATTCATTAAAAAATTAATTAACAGAGCTATGTGGTTTAATTTTACAACAGTTTCTGTTTTCATAAATTATGTAAATTTCTATTGATCTGTTTTGTATTTAAAATGTGTTTAAAAGACAGTAGTTTATTGTATTCTGTACTTTTTGTGTATTTATGATGTTTTTGTTGTTATTGTTTCGATGAAGAGGTGCTGAAGTAAAGGAAGGATAAGACACCTTTGCAGGCATTCTGAACAAACCTGTAAAAATATATGTCGAACCTAATAAAATTTTTTTTTTAAACAGAGTCTCACTTTGTTGCCCAGGCTGGAGTACAGTGGTGTGATCTCAGCTCACTGCAACCCCCGCCTCCTGGGTTCAAGTGACTCTCCTGCCTCAGCCTCCTGAATAGTTGGGTTTACAAGCACGTGCCACCACGCCTGGCTAATTTTTGTGTTTTTAGTAGAGACGGGTTTCACCATGTTAGCCAGGATGGTCTTGATCTCCTGACCTCGTGATCTGCCTGCCTGAGCCTCCGAAAGTGCTGGGATTACAGACGTGAGCCAGCGTGCCCGGCAGAACCTAATATAATTATAACAAAGAGAGAATTTATCCCTAGGGATTTCTGAGCTTTCATTAGATTTTATCTGAAATATTTTCTGCAATGTCATCTGTTTAAACTAAGTAAGATAAGGCTTTCAGAACTTCTAATTTACTACTAGACCAAACAGAAGACTTATTATATCAGGTTTGGCCTCGATCCAGTCCGGTTTTTAGTTAGCACCTCAAGGAGTATCTTTCTGGTTCCTCTGAAGGCCCTGGCTGACTCAGGCTAAACTGCTCCTCCTTTGAATCCCTGAGGTATATCTACCCCTGACTTCCAAAAGTGATCTCTGTGGGATAGCCCCAGTGGCACTGGGGTTCCTAGCTGTGTCTCAGACCTGACAGAGTCCAAGATATACCATATCTCCTCTTCACTGTGCCCTCCAAATGATATTTTTTGGGAACTCTATAGAGTTCCTAATAGCTATTTCAACCTCAACTTAGTACTTTCTGTGGTAGTCCATTACAGCCAAGGTAGCAGTTAATCCACGTGTAAAACAGCTAACTGGCAAGATTTCACAGATAGAGATTTTAATGATCTTAAAGTAGTTAACAGCTGCTAATTAAGTTTCATTAGACACAGTGATTTCTTCTTTCTTTCTTTCTTTTTTTTTTTTTGTTGGCAAGTGTTCCAGTTACAGGTAAAGACAGTATAAAGGAAGAATAGCAATACAAGGTTTTCAGTATTTTTTGCAGTTCTCTGTATTGAACATCATGAGTCATGATAATGTATCATGACTTGTATTTTCATTTGTGATGTTTCATTTCTGTTTTTCCGTCCATATATTTAAAAATTTTTTTCTACCGTGAAATATTTGCAACAACTCTGTGTTTAGAGGTAGTGTTAACTGACTCATACCAGGAAGGAGTTCATGATAATAACTTCATGATTAATATCATGTTCTAGCCAGCTGAGCAGCCTTAACATTTTGAATGGTCTTAAGACATTTATTTTTTTAATGTGAAAATTCCTGTCTGCTTTTAAAGCATGTAGCTTAAAATTAATGAGGCCAACATTGTGGGTTTTAAGCTTAATTACACCAGAATTTTAAGAAGCACTCTTCTGTCAGAACTCCCAAAGCTTTATTGTAGTCACAGTGTTGGAATGTATAAAAATTACAGTTCTGTTGTATTAGAACTTAGTTGACCAGTTCTGAGAAATAAAAGCTTAGCTGCTGGTTTATATTTCAGGCTTTTATGGGAATTAAAGGGTGCTAAGTTAAGGTTAGTTCTACGGGTAGCTGACTCAGGGAAGAGAGAAAATAGAGGGGATATTACACAGTAAATAAACATCATAAAGGCAGGAGGACCAATACTTAAGCTCTGCCCAACTGCTTCTTTAGTGGTGACAAGGATGCATTTCATGGACAATGAGCACAGTTTTGACTTGTGTATCCAGTGGAGATGTTCCCTTTTGCAAACGGTTCTCCTTTTTAACTAATTTTTCTGTTTTAATTGACTGTAGTGGTATTGTGTGAGTAAAAGATTGAAAGACTTATGACTTTTCTTTCTGTAGTTGAGAAACCAAGGCAGTATCATGAGCAGGAAGAAACGCCTGAGATGATGGCAGCCCGAATTGACAGAGATGTGGTAAGTACAGTAGTCATCTTTGGATTATTGACATTTTTTTTTAAGAGGAAAAAAAATTCACAAGAAAATGAACTTGATTTAAATAAAGATGTTTTATAGAAACCATGTTTTCTGTTTCTAGTGATGGTCATGTTGTTTGATTTATTTTTTCCTTAACTGTTTTTGCCTTTATGCCAGTATTTAGGTAGTAGACCCGTTTACATAGAAACTTAGGCTGAATTATTAGATTTCAGGAATGGTACAGTTTTTCTTTCATTACAGTTTGTAGTTCATAATTGAAATATTTTTAATATGTCTTCTTGGCATTTATTAACAATGTATTTTAGAATGCCTAAAAGATAAAAGTTAAGAGGCATTTTGAAAGGATAGATTTGTAAATCGTAATGCTTTACAGAATGAGAATTCTGTAAATATTCTGGTTATAGAATACGGTGTTAATGTAATTACTTTTTATGCTTTACACATGTTACCAGCTTATGGAGAAACAAATACTGAAAGGAATTTGAAATTTGGAATTCAATTTCTATATAACACTATTACATTTTATACTTAAAAGTTTAACCCCAATTTCTAGTCTTAAATTAGAAGAATGTCAAGTTTCACACATACTGGAGAAAGGCAACTAAGACTGTAGTATATAAGGTAACCAAATTCATTCCAGTGATCTCCGAAAACATAGTACATCATTAATTCTATTTTGTCATGTGGAAACACTTATTAATGCTTAGTATCATAGACTAGCTATTAGGTTATCACAACTTCTGTATATCTTTAATTCTATGAAATAATATTGTCAGTTCTTTATTGGGACATTTATCAGTAAAACAAAAATGCTCAGTGCTCATCTAACAAAGCATTGTTTAGAATTTTTTTCTTAACTTTGTGTGGGAGAACACTGAGAAAATTAAAGTAATTGAAAATAACCTGAGTAGATACTGTGAATGCTTCCTTGATAACATTGAACATACAGCAAAAGTAAGCTAAAGAAAAATGTAAATGTCAGATGGTGGCTGCAGGTATATTTAGTTTGATTCTTGTAATTAATTAGTAATAAACTTGAAATTTGCATGTTGGCTATTTCATTTTTTAAAAACTTTTCTATTTTTTACTAACAGTGTACAGCTAAGGCAAAAATAGTTTTGCATTTTATTCTATAATTTCTAATTTCAGCAAATCTTAAACCACATTTTGGATGACATTGAATTTTTTATCACAAAACTCCAAAAAGCAGCTGAAGCATTTTCTGAGCTTTCTAAAAGGAAGAAAAATAAGAAAAGTAAAAGGAAAGGACCAGGAGGTAAGTTGGATTTTCTTAATCCTCTAATGACTGGTTAGAACTCTGGTACTACACAGAGTTCTGTCCCTATGAACTGCATAGGAAAACTTCATTGACTGTGGACTAGGGTCCCTCTTCCAGTTTTGGGGTAGCACCTGAGATTTAGGCAAAGAGTAAGATGAACCCAGGGAAGAGTTCATTTTGATTATAAGTCAGCTATAGTGAAGAAAAATCCTGGAATGTTTTACTTAAATCACGGAGACTCTGAGATTCAGGTAGTGACCATCTGTCTGTAGCTTTCATTGGTGATTTTAAAATTAAGTATCTATTAAAGATATAGTTCTATTCATCTTATATTGTGATTTATTCTATTATAAACTAGAACCATATTATTTGTTAAAAGGGTTGACTTATTAAAATATTTAAAAGTTTCAACAGATTTCAATTTTTTATCACAAAACTTTAAACAGTACATTCAGGTCACATACAAAGCCATATAAACACAAATTTGAAGTATGCTGCAGTTCAGCTATTAAGATGGCCTCAGCTCTATAAAATCAAAATTATGAAAGTAAAGTTTATACTTCCTCTGACAAAATGGTAGAGATGGAAAGATATAAAATAGTAAATAAATATTCCTTTCATTACAGATAACTTCTAAATCTTTCTTTAGCACATATTGATACAGCAAGCGTATGACCTTTGGCTTTATCTTCTACATGTGAATACATGGATATGCCTCCTCTCTACAGATTCCAAAATTAAGTACTATTGCTTCCCAGTATCTTAAACTACTTATTCCTTTTGAAATTGTCTATGAAAGGTATACTATCCTCTTGATCACCCAGATTCAAAACTGCAGATGCTTCTATGACTTCCTTCTCTAGCTTGTAGCCAACATCAATTTTATTTTCTCAGCATCTTCTGTATCCACTTATTTCCCTTTTAATTTTCATAACTGGCATCCAGTTCAAGCTACTATCATTTTTTAAACCCAGCTTTCTAAGCAGCCGTCAAGCCTCTACTTTTTCATGCTGTGAGAACAGTCTTTTAAAGCTGTCAGTCACTTCTTTCTTCTGCTGTAAAGCATGTTAGTTACATGTTCTATTGATGTAAATACAACTCTTCACACTGGAAATCAAGGTTATCCACAATCTAACCTTGATATACTCTTCCATTCTCATGTTTCTCTGATTTTATGTTTGTTGTTTCATGTACAGGCAGTTTACCTTTTCCTTGTTTTTGCTTACGCTGTTTTTATCCAAACATGATGTTTTTCCCACCATATCGCCCTAGACCAAACTTTTCAAATCCCATCTTATAGCCTACTCTCTCCATCTGTCTTTTAAGTATACATTTTCTTGTCACCCAACCAGGTAATTCTTGTCTCACAACCATTGGAACATCTCTTGTTATTTATCTGGTTCATGTATTTTATTAGATTTTAAGTCCCTTAAGAGCAGAGCTTATTGCTTTCTCACTTTTATACTCTTCACAATGATAAGCAGAATGCCTGCCACAAAGAAAGGCTATAATGTACGTTTATGGAATTAAATGAGTAATTTGTAGTGCCTAAGGATAGAGCAATCCAGTTCAAACTTTGTGTCTTCTCAGTTGTTACAGTCAGACTATGAGATGTAGCACAGTAACTAGGTAGCGTGTCTGATGAGATCATTAAACTTTACAGAAGTAAATGTGGCTTTTATTTTTCCATTTAATAAATTTTCTTGGATTTTGCTCTGATCTCCTCCTCCTCTCACTTATTTCATTAGAGGGCGTTTTAACGCTGCGGGCAAAACCTCCACCTCCTGATGAATTTCTTGACTGTTTCCAAAAATTTAAACATGGATTTAACCTTCTGGTAAGTGAAATTTATGTATGTAGAATTAGAAGAAATAAATGAAAAAATTAAAGTCTAGTCAGGATGTTTCTGATCAAATTAAGAAATAAAATTGTTTTTATAGATTTTTGGAGGGTATGTATGTTTTGATTTGCCTTTAATTAAAAACAGCAAATTTAAAAACATGCATATCTAAGAAACTCAATTGAAAAACAATGACTTCTAGTCTCACTCTATCCATGCTAACAAATATATTAAAAGTCAAACTGGTGGTAAAGACTACCCCACTGCCAGGCACGGTGGCTTACATCTGTAATCCCAACACTTTGGGAGGCTGAGGTGGGCAGATCACGAAGTCAGGAGTTCAAGACCAGCCTGGCCAACATGGTGAAACCCCATCTCTACTAAAAATACAAAAATTAGCTGGGCATGGTGGTGCATGCCTGTAATCCCAGCTACTCAGGAGGCTGAGGCAGGAGAATCGCTTGAACCCGGGAGGAGGAGGTTGTAGTGAGATCGTGCCACTGCACTCCAGCCTGGCAACAGAGTGAGACTCTGTCTCAAAAAACAAAAAAATACCACCCCCTCTGAGTCTATGTTGGACTTTTCTCAGTGTCTGTCTTTTGCTCCATAGTAATCTATTTTCTGTTTTCTTAATGTTACAGGCCAAATTGAAGTCTCATATTCAGAATCCCAGTGCTGCAGATTTGGTTCACTTTTTGTTTACTCCATTAAATATGGTGAGATTTTATTAGTTTAAGAAAGAATTTTTCTTAGTATATTTTTAAACCCAAAGTGTCTGTCTGGATTATCTAGACTGCTTTGCTTCATTTCCTTGCTTGGGTACTATTTCTTTGCCACTTGTGTAAACATCAAGAATGTAAAATTTGAGAATTTAAAGAACCTTATAAATCATCTTGTTTAAACACCTTATTTATATTTGAGGAAACTAGTATCTCTGACAGAGCTAGGGATATGAAAAGACATAAAGATTTATTGGATACCAGTGTTTCAATGTATACTAGTATATAATATCCAATGCCTTGAATAATGTAGATGTTTTTCTCATTCTCACAAAATAATCATGAGGAGTCTAGTTCTTGATGGATGGTTTGCTCTGTGAAGTCATTCAGAGACCCATGGGTTTTTTGTTTTTTTATTTTTTTTAATTGAGGTGTTCCTTCATCTCTTGAACTGTCTCTGACTTGTTTATTCATTTATGCACTTATTCTACAAATACAAACTGAGAGCCTCCTAAGTGCTTGGCTTTATAGTAGTTCATCAGGAACACACAGACAAAAATTCTTACCCTATTAGAACTTATATTGTAGCATCGAGGGCCAGCCAATAACCTAAATAAATGTGTAAGTAATACAGTTGTCTAAAAATCAGATGCTATGCAGAAAAATAGAGTAGAGGAGGGCTGGGAGTTCCCCGGGGTATGCATGCCTGTGTGTATGTGTGTGGGAAATGGAGTGTTACACTTTTTGAGTAGGGTTGGTTAAAAGAAGCCTCAGTGAGATGTCATTGGAGTAAAGGAAGTAAGGAATGGGTCATCAGGATCTTTGCAAGAAGAGAATTCCAGACAGAGAATAATGTGTAAATGTTCTAAGGTAGTAACATGCAAAGCATGTTCTTGGAATAGGTAGATACTGTGACTTCAACAGAATGAGGGAAGAAAAGATTAGGAGATGTTATCAGGAGGGCAACAGGAAGATACATCTTATTGGTCCTTATAAGGGATTGGGAGACCTTTGACAATTGGAGAGTTTTTAGCAGAAAAGAATTGCCCTGGCTACAATGTTTAGAAATTTTGGGGAAGAAGCAACTAGAGTCGTTATTAAAATAATCCAGATGGGAGATTATGATGCTTGGACCTGGTAGCATTGAAGGTGGTGAGAAGTCTGATCTGGTTATAAATTTGCTGCTAGATTGAATATACTGTGCAAAAGTCAAGGATCTCTCCCACATTTTTGGCCTAAGACTCACAGAATGGAGTGATCATTAACTAAGATGGGGAAGACTGGGTAGAGCAGGTTTTTGGAGGATGGTGAAGAATTCAGCTTTAGATATATCAAAAGTGAGTTGTACCCAGATGGGGAAACTTGAATTGATAGTTGGATATATGAATTGGGAGTTCAGTGAAGAAATTAGGCCAAGGACTGGTTGAACTTTGGGCATTCAATGTTAGGAGAATAGGAAGAACCAGCCAAGAAGATTGACAACAGGCAGTAAGGGATGATAAATCTCATCCTTCTTTCCCCAGGGATAAGTAGACAAGACTTGAAGTAGGATATGAAATGAGTGTTGCTTCCAACATAGGAAAGTAAGTAACATTATCAACATGAATGTCAGAAGCTAAGCAATAGGGATTAGAAGATGAAAGTGCAAGAGTACATCAGTAATTTGTGAATGCTTCCATATGTTGTTGCTATATATAGAACATCAGATTCTACTTGCCTAATTATTTCTGAATGATTCTTGCTATATAATTGTTTTTTTAAAAAAATTAAATGAAGACCAAGGACATACATATGCAAAAAATTTGATAGTAGCTCATTAACAAAATTTGTATTTCTTATTCTTTAACATCTTTGATGCTATCTTAATTTGAGTATTAAGAAGTATTATTTATAAAGCGGTTTTTGCTGCCTCCTCTTACTTCTTTCACACACTTCCAGAGATCATATGTAGATATCTAGTCATTACACAGAGTAGAGCTATAACATAACGAGGATGGTTTCCCTGACATATACAAATTGGTCTTTGTGATCAGTTGTCTACCTGAAAACGTTGGTTTACTTGCCAATGTTTTGGCAATTTGGTTTACTTGCCAATGTTTGGTATCTCTGCTTTTCTCAAAAATTACTCCTTATTAATGTTCTTTCCATTCATAATATTTTGCTGGTCCATTTAATGTTCTCCCTACAGGGCCCCAGACATTTTACTTGGACTAGGGAGATGAGGAGAAACATCTATTTAGGGCCTGCTACTGCCCAAGCATGATGTAGTGGCTTTATATCTGTGAGCTGCTCTCCTCTTCCCTCATCATGGACATGGGCACACAAGCACAGCCACAGAACATATGCCTGCGCACGTTCTTCAGAGGGATCCATGGCTCATAACCTTTTATTTACAGTCTCTTTCTTTTGTTAAATCAGAGATTTTTATATTCCTCTACTCATTTTTTTAACTGTTTTAATTTTCCCTCTTATTGCTACATATTTATTAGAAGTGCATTTGGGGTTGGAAGTTAAAAATTACTGGGCTAGGTAGGCAGGGTAGGTTTTGTTCTCAAAGAAGAGTTAGTGTTCCTTCTTTATCTGCCACCTTTTTTTTTCATTCATTCCATACCACTGTGTCATCTGCAATTCAAAGTCAGATAAGTCTTAGTCCAACTCCTCAAGGAGGGGAAACTGAAAAGGCATAAATTACAGTGTAATAGTGTAATATGTTACTAATATGCATAAATTACCTTGTAATAGTGTAACGTGGGCCAGGCACGGTGGCTCACGCCTGTAATCCTAGCACTTTGGGAGGCCGAGGTGAGTAGATTACCTTAGCTCAGGAGTTGGAGACCAGCCTGGGCAACTCAGTGAAACCCCATCCCTACTAAAATACAAAAGAAATTAGCCGGGCATGGCAGTGTGTGCCTGTAGTTTCAGCTACTGCTGAGGCTGAGGCAGGAGAATTGCTTGAACCCAAGAGCTGAGATGACACGGTGAGCTGAGATCACTCTACTGTACTCCAGCCTGGGCAACAGGTTGAGACTCCATCTCTTAAAAAAAAAAAAAAAAAGTACAACGTGTTGCTAAAATATGCATATATTACAGTGCAATAGTGTAATGTGTTACTAATATGCATAAATTACAGTGTAATAGTGTAATGTGTCACTAATATGTATAAATTGTTTAGAGGACACAGGGTGGGGATGATGCATCAGAGTTACACTTTGGGGTTAAGACAGGCTGTCACAAGAGTTGGGACATGAGTAGAGTTATGAATAATGGGGGAAGGGCCTTCTGGGGAATGGGAACAGCATGTGCAAATATACAGAGGCCTGGAACAGCATAGCATGCTGAGAACACCTGGATGATTGGAGCCATTCAAAAAATCTTTCCTCTTGTGTCACATCTCTGAGAAGGTACGATTTTATAAAGAGACTCTAGTTTCTGCTCTAGGAGTTAACTACCATTTTTTAACCAGAAAATAGCTCAAAAGAAGTAAATTTAGAGTAGTTTTTGGACATTTTTGTATCCTCATTTTGCTTATCAGAGGATTGTACCTGTTTGTTTGTTTCTGCTGTCATTAAATTATCCGTATTAAATCAGGGAAATTTTCTAAAAATAATTCTGGGAAAAGGTACCATAGGTTCAGAGTATCAGTCTTATTCCTGTTTCATCTTCCTCCCTGGATCCTTTTATTTTTGTATGTCTGTATATGCACAGCCATAGGCTGTTAACTCTTGATAGTATTGTTTCTCTTGGTAGTATTCATTTTGGGAACTATATTTTTCAAGTTTGGCATAACAAATTTGCCAGAAGAGATACACATATTTAAAACAATAACAACAACAAAACAGGGATAGTAAAATCACCTGATCTAGAATTCTCTGCATAGCCTTTAGTATCTTCCAGAGAAAGTACAGTCATATGCAGCCCATAGGCAGATGCTGTGAAAGCTGTTAAATTGTTAACTTTGATTTTAGATTTTAAAGCACTGCTGGGCTGGGCAAGTTGATTTGACAAGCTGTTTTTCAATTGGTAGTGCATTGCACAAAATCAAAATTTAATTTGACTGTTATAAAATAGTGCTTGTTTTTGGCATGGGTTTTTGTCTACACGTTTTGTAAACATACAAGTAATTGTCACCTTCTTGCTAAAAAATGGTTTATTATTTTAGGTGGTGCAGGCAACAGGAGGTCCTGAATTAGCCAGTTCAGTACTTAGTCCCCTATTGACTAAGGACACAATTGATTTCTTAAATTATACTGTCAATGGTGATGAACGGCAGCTGTGGATGTCATTGGGAGGAACTTGGATGAAAGCCAGGTAAGCATAGATGAGTTTAGCATTTACCACCTATAATGCTTTAAGTACCATTCTTTGTTTATTACATTGATCTAATGAGACATTTCTTTAACCTTCTACATATGAAGGACTAAGTGTCATAGGATGAAAAAGCCTAAACCCTTAAAAGCTACAAGTCTAGTGGAGGAGATAGAAGTGTATGCATTATAAGGAATGATATACCTTAGGAGTGAGTCATAAACAAAATGCTCTTGGTGGGCAAGGGGGAGCCATCAGGAAGAGGATTTAGATAGGAGGGTAGTTAGCTTTCAAATAAGAGCTGGCATGTAAAATCCACAGGTACACATAGAGTTCACAGACGTACATACACACACACATGAACAGTCCTTGCTAGTCCATGTACTTTACATAACTACTGTTACTATCCCTGTTTTGCAGATGAGGAAAGTGAGGCACGGAGAGGATAAGTTAATTTGCCCAAAGTCACACAATTTGTAAGTGACAGAGCAGGGATGTGAACTCATGCCATGTAGCTCTGGAGTCAGTGTTCATCATTAGTTTGCTAAACTGCCTTTCAGCAGGATGAGTAGAATTTCCACAGTTACTTAGCAGGGCAAGCGCCTGTCCAGTAAAGAGAGAAGCAGAAGTGAAGGCATGACATAGTCAAGAAAAGAGAGGATGAAGATGTGTTTCTCTGGAATATGGACTTCGGGTGGCAGTTGAGTGTGGAAGGGTGGGAGGACGATGGTATTAAAATGAGCATATAGAGATGAGCAGGAAAGTATTATGCAGTCTTTCAGTGCCATGCTAAGGAGCTGGAGCACGGTTCTATAGGCCATGGAGAACCAATATCTTTGTGACTACGAGTGTGACATAATTACATCTATGTTTTAGAAAGATCAGTCTGGTAGTCGAAGCTAGCAAGGACAAGGACAAATGTAACTGGAGGTAGAGGCCTTTTGAGATGTTAATATTATAGTAGAGCCTCCTTTATAAATCAGTATTCTTCAGGACCAGAGAGTCACAGTGGGACTGAAAAGGAAGAGTGGGTAATTTTAAGAATTGTGCACTTGTCAAGAAAGTGATTATGGAAGATAAATCATTAACAATTGCAGTACTAATATTTGCTGAGCAAGGCAAGGTAAGAAAATAATTCTAATTTCATAATTATAAATAAATAATTTTTGCTTTGCTCATTTATCTTAATCTTTTAATTTATTTCACCACTTAGAATAAATAATTTAGTATGGCCACTTAGACATTTGTCTTCCTAATGCTTTTGAATGGGTTAGCCTAAGAGTCATGGGCCAATTCATAATTTTTTTCCTCCTTTTTTTCCTCCTATCAAAACATATACAAACTATTCTACTTATTTTTTGGACTTTGACAGTTGCTTCTGTTGGAATACAGTTAAGCAGAAAATTATTTGAAAGCATTGCAGTTGTTGCTTTTATATAGAAAATATTTAAATTTACCTATATTATTTATGTATTAATACAGCATAGTATATACTTTATAATACTGTCCTCATACTGTCTAAAAATTGGTTAAATACATCTTTTATTTCTTAAATTTTTAATTGATACATTATTTATAGTTTTACATATTTTCAGGGTACATATGATAGGTTGATATATTCATATACTGTATAAAGATGAAATAAGGGCAATTAGGATATCCATCACCTTAAATATCTTATTTATCTTTATGCTAGGAACATTTCAATTTTTCTCTTCTAGCTATTTTGAAGTGTACACTAGATTAATGTTAACTCTAGTTACCCTGCTGATCTATCTAACACTGGGTCTTATTTCTCCTATTCAAGGTATGTTTGTAACCATTAATCAACTTCTCTTCATCTCCCCACAACCCTGCCTCATCCTTGTCAGTCCCTAGTAACTGCCAGTCTACTCTAACTTCATGAAATCCACTTTTTTAGCTTCCACATATGAGTGAGCTTATTTCCCTTAACAGAATGACCTCCAGTTCCACCCACGTTGCTTCACATGAGATTTCTTTCATTTTTATGGCTGAATAATATTCCATTGTAAATAGATCACTTAAATCTATTCAATTTATATAGGTTATTTTATGATAAGCCTACGTGGCATCCTTTAATTTCATGAAGCTCATTAAATGCATCAGGTCTCACATTACAAATGTAGCTCAAGCTCCTTAATTTCTTTGTTTAGGGTTCTATCTTAAAATAAGAAAATTAATTACCATTTTTAAAACTATATCAAAATAAAATATTGTTAGCTATTAACATGTGGAAAGGGTCATTTAGATCCTGATTGGTAAGACTACTAAGCAATGAATGTACTGACTGATTTAAAAATATGTAAAGATAAAAAGAATCATGAAAGTCTATAACAATCTGAATAAAATGACTGATTTCATAATACTCTGTAGTAGAAATATAACATGAAGAATTAAATATTAAAGATGAAGCAACATATTCCAGCAAAAATGAAGCCCTCATTTTTGTCCTATTTTTGTGGTTCATGAGTGATTAGGATCTTATAGAAATTAGCCTCACTCAGTGTCATTAAATGATGAACTGATATGATTGTGATTACAGATTAGTTGGCTTTACCAATTAAAACAGAGCTGATACATTTAATTTATAAAATTGACCATCTGTTTCATTTTAGAGGACTTCATAAATTTAAAAATCATAAACCTTAAGAACATGCTAGGCTGTTTCTCTTTTGAAAGATATATCTGATACCAGGAGGTTTCAGTAATGATGGGAGGGGAATGAAGGGAAAGTTGGGAGTCTGAAACTACTTTAAATGTTAGAGAAATTTGTGCTCTAAATACTTATCACACTCCAAGCTCCACGCCCCCTTCTTACACAAATTTTTAAAAGCCTATGCTCATGTTAAAAAGTTGAGTCTAATGGAGAATTGAGGCAACGTTGTGAAAACAGTTCATGCAACAGAATTCAATCTTTCTTTCATTTTATTGGTGTGAAATACTGGTATAAACATGTTTGTTTTTTCTTTTTGGGTGGATGGAAGACAGATTAGATATGTGCTGTTTTTGTTGTTTGTTGTTTATGTGTGTGTGTGTGTGTGTGTCTAGCCTTACTGAAGATAACTGTGAGCATGGGCACATTCCTGGATGTTATTGTTTATATGCCTTTATGCCCTCCTACAGAGCAGAGTGGCCAAAGGAACAGTTTATTCCACCATATGTTCCACGGTTCCGCAATGGCTGGGAGCCCCCAATGCTGAACTTTATGGGAGCACCAATGGAACAAGATCTTTATCAACTAGCAGAATCTGTGGCAAATGTAGCAGAACATCAGCGCAAACAGGAAATAAAAAGATTATCCACAGAGGTAAAGTTTTTTTTAACATTATCCTTTGCAGACAGTATAATTATCTGTGTATTCTCTTATAATTCTGATCGCAAGTTCTATTTTATTGATCTGAAAATTGTTCTAGAATCAAAGTCTGAATGTTACCTTCTCTGGAATTACCTCTCTCTCTTGCATCTGTCATTTCATGACAGTTGCGCTGCTCCTCCTCCTTGAAGCCCAACCCCAACCCAAATTGCTCTCCTAGAACCTGTCAGCCCTCACCCCTCCCCTTATTGCCACCTTTCTCCTGGCTCTGGCGATCCTAAGTAAGCTTTTTTAGGATGACTTTATCTTGTGCTACTGCCCTTTGGCTTATTTCTTTCTGTTTTCCTCTCCCATTATCAGGCCCTCAAGACAGTTCCCTGAACGTAGATCCTCTACCCTGTCCCAAACAGCTGTTTTCTGAATGCCCCCAGTTACTTAATTTCTCTCTGTCTTTTCTTCATGTTGCTTTGCCTCTCTTCTCTTCTGTTTGTTTTCTTTCTTTCCTTTTGCCTGGTTCTAAACCTCTGGAGCCCTATCAGCCTTGCTAGATGACCAAAGTTTTTCTGTACTCTAGTCCTCAAGCTCAAATGATCATTTATAAAGCTATACACCTTGAGGAGATTGTAACACTCATTTTAAGTATTTTAGTGAGCTTTAGAGTATAACCTATTTGGGAATCAAGTTGAGAGAATGAAATTGAGTATGCTGTCTTGTCACATTCCTTAAAAATGATGTTTCTTCTTGTTTGTTGGAAAAGAACAGTGAACAGCTAGACCAAACACAAATAGGATAAGAACCTGAAGAATTAGGTGAATGAGGTCTAATCTGAAGAAGAAACAGTAAATGTTGACTAGAGCTTCCTGAAATCCTATTATTTTATTTTGTTTAATTCCTTAGCTTAATTTTCTCAGGCTATCATAGGTATTTATAATGTGGCAAACATGATATGAAGAGAATGAATTAGCAAACCATGGTGTATTATATCCTGTGACCACTTTTCAGGCAAAACACTTATCTAAATTAAATTTAAAAAAATTTTCCTTTGTGGACTATTCTTTAAACAATAACAATATTATTGTAGAAGTTTGGTTCAATTCCTGAAACTTTAAAAATAAAGCAAACGTATTACTTTGGAATTATTTTTTTCTAATGTAATTGTTTTTTCCCCTGGCTGTATCATAAGGGAAGAGGTGGATTCCATGCTTGCCCTTCCCTCTAAATGAATAATTAAGACGACCTCACTGCTCAGTTGGCAAGCATATGTCCCTGCCCATATTTCATTGTTCAGGCCTCATCATTGTGAATTTTCTTTCCACTTAAAGGCCAGTTTTTCTGGAGGAAAGAAAATATAATCAAACATGAAATTATGATACACTTGCTGTTGCTATAGTTACAGCTGACTCTTTTCACATCATAAAAATTTCCAGCTTATAGCCTTCATATCTTAAATAAGAAAATATACTCACTTTATAATGCATGGCTCAGAAATTCACTTTTTTGATTTCTTTGTCAATTTGTGTATTTAAGAAGAGAGTAATGTGTTCTGGGTTCCCAGGATGTAAGTTTGTCTTTTCACTGAATAAGTAATTTTAAAAGAGGAATTATTGAAAATCCTTACTTGTAATGAGTTATCATTTTCCTGTTGTAAACTATATTTCATTTGATGGCCAAAGTAGTTAATCAGAGGTTTAAAAAAATGAAAAGCCACATGCTAGCAGTTCCAGGGAATTTTATGCCTTGAGATTTTGTTGGAAAAGAGGCCAAGTAATGGTGACTTAAAATGCATAAAAATGTAATCACCCCTAGAAGAGAGATTTTATTATACTTTATTGCTACTATAATAAAAGCATTTACAATAAGACTTGGGTAATTCAGGATCTGGTGAGTTTTGTTTAGGACTGAAAGACATAGGTGACATGGAGTGACAAATATGGGTGGCAGTACTCAACTTCTTTACTTCCCCTGAACTCTTGGTAGTCATCACAGTTAGTCATTTGTCATTTTTCTCTTCTCCCTTTCAGTATTACCAGTCACTCTCAGGACCCAGTGATTTCATACTGCTGACCTCACTGTTATGTTCAGAGCTGGGCAAAAGGTGTGGGTGCTTCTAATAGTTTCTTGCACTTCCCTCTTTAGAACAGCCTTTAATTAAAGATTAATCTAATGTAGTGCCTCTACTCTTTCCCAGGGAAATGATAAACTGAATTAATTGAGTTCAGACTTTTTTAAATTAAATGCTGAAACTTGTTTATTTGTATTTGTGTATTAAGTGCAGTGTCCTGATTGTGTATATATAAACATCACCTGCTCTGTCCATGGATAAACTCAGCCCTCCTCCTGCTCGCTTTGTCATTAGAATTAACTATGGTAACTATATGTCCAAGACATTTCTGAAACATTTTTAGTTTCAACTATTTTGCCTGAATGAATCCATAAACAAATATACAAAATCCATAATCAAAATATCCGAGGAAGTCCAGTGCTTCAGCGTCTGTCATGCTTCTTCCATACTTAATTTTTATCTAAAGAAACAATGTAAAGGCTTTGGGGAGTTTCTGTTTGTTTGTTTGTTTTCTTTCAATTTAAGCATGTATTCTTTATAGCAGCGGTCCCCAACCCCTGGCCATGGACCAGTACCAGTGCGTGGCCCATTAGAACCGGGCCGCACTGCAGGAGGTGAGTGGCACCTTATCACCTGGATAAGGTGCATTATCACCTGAGCTCCACTTCCTGTCAGATGAGCTGAGGTTTTAGATTCTCATAGGAGCAAGAACCCTATGAGAATGCGAGGGTTCTCTTTATGATAATCTAGTGCCTGATGATCTAAGGAGGAGCAGTTTTATCCTGAAACCATCCCCATCACGCCTGGCCCTGAGGTCCATGGAAAAATTGCCTTCTCTGAAACAAGTTCGCTGCCAAAACAGTTGGGAACTGCTGCTCTATAGCTTTAAAACCGTAGTCCTCAGTGGGGCCTATAAACCTCAGCTGTCACGCTTGGTAGCTCCCAGTAGTTTCCTGTCTGAATTATCCTAACTACAAAAAAGAAACGATAGCATTCTCTTATCCTGGACTCTTGACTATCAAGATCAGTTTAGTTATGCCTTTCTGCGTTTCCCTTAACAGCAAATATGATAATAATGCTGCTATTTTTTTGAAAATAATATAATGTTCTGTGTATAATTTTAAAATTGAGAAAAATGAGAACTTGGTATAATTTTAATCCTTAGAGTTCAGTTGATTTTCATGTGACAGTATTTACTTTGCTAAAATGGTGAAAGTTTCTTGAACAGAGAGAGCAAAATTACCCTTTGCACTAATGACTTTTTTTTATTATAAGTAAGTCTTTGACAAAAATGTATCACTCCTGTTTCATAATCTGTTAACATAATGGTCAGTCACTTGAAAATGAAAACTGATCACAATATAGTGGAGAGATCTTGTTGACTGACCTGAGTGCTGATTCAAATAGTATTTGGTGATTCTTTAATCTGCCCTACTTTGTCTTTCAGCATTCCAGTGTATCAGAGTATCATCCAGCCGATGGCTATGCATTCAGTAGCAACACTTACACAAGAGGGTCCCATCTGGACCAAGGGGAAGCTGCCGTTGCTTTTAAGCCAACTTCTAATCGCCATATAGATAGGTAACATTTAATGGGCACCTTTTGGAGAGCTGTGGATAACTGTCTCTGATCTAGTGCTAACAGAGGTGATAGTATCTGTCTACTACTTCTTTAAACTTTCCATCTGTTAATTAGTTGATAAAGTTTTAGTTGTTTCTTAAGATAACTGGTTTTGATCAACAAAAGATGTCTGGACCTCCAGTCTGTAAGTCTCATTTAGTGCAAATGCCTTTGGATGACTTTTCATTTTTTTTACAAGATACTTCTGACAAAATGTGTACATTAAAAAGAAAGAATTGTCTTGAAACCCTCCATTAGTTGGTACCAGATGGTTTCTGAGGATCCTTCCAGCTCTGTAGCTTTTAAAGGAAACAGTTTCCATCTTAATTTTCACTCAATAAAAACAAATAAACTTTCCATAGATAGATATATTTAAACTGAATATAAACTAAATATTTAAACAGAGTCAATGCCTTATTTGTCATTCTTGCCATCTCATCTTATTATATTTTATCTTGAGTTTGCAGTTTTACATTTCATTTATTTTTCCATATTTTCATTCTTAAAAAAATATAGGCAGAGATGGAGAATTGTGAAGAGAAGAAATAAAGGAACTAGAATAGGTTCATTTTTTTTTCCAACCTTGTTTTTAGTAAATGAGATCTGCATAGAGGCAAACCATGTAGAAAAGAGAAAGAAAAGGAGGTAAAATCTTGGTAACATGGGTATAGGAGGAGTGTCATTCAATGAACTGGGGTAGAGAACTCAGCCTAGTACTTTTTCCTGTCTCAAAGCCTCTCTTACCACAAGAGCTATATGCTCTTTATTTCTTTTCTGTATACTCTTTTCTTAATATATTCTAAAGAAAGTGGGATTTAAAATTTTTCTTCTTTGTCAGGAATGCTGACAGGTAATGCTTAAGTAATTGCTGTAGAAATTACACAGGTGTAACTCCAAGGGCACCAGTGACATTAAATTGAGTACAAAGAAAAGTCAGCAATGAATAATATATTTTTAAATGTCAACATATGAGAATGTTTTAATTATAGAATTAATTTTTAGTAGATACAGTTGAAAATTAGTTTTGAAGCTTAAACATTCCATTGAAATTCTTCTTACCTAACTCAGAACTCATCTTAATATTTTCTTTTTTCTTTCTTTCTGTCTTAGATGTCAGTATTTTAAAAATCATTTCAGATTAATAGGCTTCTTTTTGTTTTACCACTCCAGTAATTCGTATGATTTTCCACAGCTAGTTAACTAGAAAGCCACTTGAGTACATTTGCAGAGTACACATTGACTCTAGAAAACTTCTATCATGTTCCATTTTAAGACCACACCTAGCATACTGTGGTCACTCAATAAGTGTAGATTTATTTGATTGATGGATTGGGTGAATAAGTGCATGAGAGTCTAACATTTCAGAATCACTAACTCCCTGTCCTTCACCTGCGTATCTATAAGGGATAGTATTACTGATGGAATCACCTCTTCTGTTTATTTTGGACACCTCACCACAAAGTCTTTTAAAAGTTTACCTTGATTTTTATGATCTTTATAGAATATCAGGGAAATGTACCTTTGGTTTATTGATTTAGTTATATCTCACCCTGTCAACTCCCAAATAGATTCACATAGCTCACTTAAATTATATGCAGTTAAAATGGTGTTATTATTAAAAATTAAATAATGAAATAAAATATAAAATTAAGAGGGAAGATTATGATTTTTATAAAGTATAAAAGTTGACTCATTGAATTTCAGATTTCTGACTGTCAGAACAAAAAGAGAAACATAATCATTTGCTATCATTAGGAAAAGGAATAAGTATCAGTTCATTGGGATAAAAAATTGCTGTTCTTACTCATAAATTCTCAATAATATTTGTCTCATGAAATTCAGTGTAGGATAGGATAGGTGATGTCAGGGAAGTTTATTTTTAACAATTTTTTTTCCTCACCACAGAGAAGGCTGTGGTAAATTTTACAAGTTTTCTTTGATGAATGGAAATTTAAATAAAATATAGTGAAGGAAATTCCATGAAGGGATAATAATTTAGAACGGTCAGAATTTCACCATAGAAAGAATTTTTTTTGAGTACCTTGAGTGGTAGGTAGATTTTATATCTCAGTTGTTCTTAAGGATTCCAGGTCTCAACTGGACTTAATAGGAGCTAGGATAGTTGATAAATACGTGAACCATTGATGTTCTATGTTGCCAAGAAAATGTGTCATCATTTTGAAAAACTATCTGAAAATTGTGGTCCGATATAAAATATACAGAGGTTTGAAATTGGTTTTTATAAATAATTATGATTGACCTTAAACTATATTATATACCAGGAATGCAGTAGATTCTGTTAAAAGAAAAGCTTCAGACAAATTTAACAGTTTAATTGAGCAAGGGGGAAAAGTTAGTTCATGAATTGGGCAACCCCTAGAATCACAGCAGATTCAGAGAGACTCCAGGGATGCCTCATGTTCAGAGCAAATGTATAGACAAAAAAAGGAAAGTGACGTACAGAAAACAGCTGGATTGGTTACAGCTTGGCATTTGCCTTATTTGAACACAGTTTGAACAGTCAGCAGCCTATGAGTGCTTGAAGTATGGCTGCTGGGATTGGCTGAGACTCAGCTATTGTTGCAAAAACATACTCCTAAATTGGGTTTTCAATGTGTCTACTAAATTAGGTTACGATTTGTCCACAGGACTCCAGTATGGAAGTACAGAGGGTTTCTCAGGACATATTTAGCTTAACAATGCCATATGAAGTATATTCACTGTTCTGTGAAATTACTATGCCATTAGGTAGACTGTTGAATTTAGAGCCCACACCTTTGAGTTTTATAGCTTACTGCTGTCGGATGCAATTAGTATTTTAGAGAAGTTCTCAAATTGCTACTGTCTCTATGTCTGCTCTCTATCAAGTGGCATATTTATTATTCCAAATCAGAAACAGCCCATACATTTTGTTACATTTCATAGCTCTTAAGAAACTTTGGTACCGCTTCTTTTTTTTTTTTTTTGGGACAGAGTTTTGCTCTTGTCACCTACTAGGCTGGAGTGCGATGGCACTATCTCAGCCCACTGCAACCTACGCCTCCTGGTTTCAAGCAGTTCTCGCTCCTCAGCCACCTGAGTAGCTGGGATTACAGGCATGTGCCACCACACCCAGCTAATTGTGTATTTTTTAGTAGAGATGGGGTTTCACCATGTTGGCCAGGCTGGTCTTGAACTCCTGACCTCAGGTGATCTGCCTTCCTCAGCCTCCCAAAGTGCTGGGATTACAGGCATGAGCCACCGCTCCTGGCTAAAAAACTTTGGTACCTCTGAAAAATTATAAACTGTGATGATCTGATTGGTAACTATGGTTCCTGTCATATTCATGCTTTACCTATAGAGGGCAAGAAACTGCGAGCCATAAAGATTTGTAAATTCTAAAGCACTCCCTAAGTACATGCCAGGTAAATACTTTGGAGACATGCAAGATAACAAAAACTTCGTTATAGACCATTAACTCTCCATTATTAATAGTGATTATTTTGAAGATCATAGGAGAAAGGAACATAAGGGAAGAGAAGAAGATAAAACACTGAAATTATTGTTTTCTTAATGTTTGGGGTAGTTGAATCTCTTTTATCTCCCAAATGAAATCTTAGTAGATTAAATGTGAATATATAAAGTAAATAAAAGCAGAGCTATTCCAGTAGGGATAGGGATGGGAAAATATGGAACACTGTTTTAAAATTATTATTATTAATAACATATAATAATTACTTGGTCATAATTTCACCAATCTTCTTTTTAATATACTAAAAATAGCCAACAGGTTGTTTGTACATGCTTATCTATAGGGTGTTCTGTGCAGGTCCTCTTTTTTCTTTGTCCCTGTCTCCCTCCTCCAGTGGAGTTAGTGCCTAAGAGGCAACAAAAACCTATGATGACAGGATCCGTTATGTCTACAACGGTCCTGCAGGCCCTGGTATAACTCAACATTCCAGAGAACTTGGTAGACAGTAAAAAGGATGGCAACTTGACAGGCGTAGGATGACCTAACATCTTTAGTCTTTGTCTGCTATTTCCTTTGTAGAATTGTGTAAATAAATGTGGGAATGTAAATGGAGGAGAAGACTGGGGAGTAAAATTAAGAAAGAGTTAAAGTCATTTTATTATTGAAATGTATGAAGAAAATACACGTTTAATGCATTAAGTGTATTGTGCTACATATAAAAGTAATCTTTAATTAAGTGGTTAAATCTATTAGTACTCATTTAATGATTAGAAGAGGTATCTGGTTTTTAAAGAAAGGTTTATAAAAAAAAAATACGGCCCATGCACTTTTTAAAAGTTTGTAGTGAATTAAATTATTTATTTACTTATTTATTTGCAAGTGTCACTAGTCTCGTACTTAATGCCTATCTCTCGTTTTGCAATTTAGATAACTGGGCAAAGTGTTTCTAAAAACTGATGCCTAGTTATAAATTTTAAATTTATATATTTGGTTACTGAATTGCAGACATTGCTTAGATTAGTGAAATCAACCTATAACTAAAATTACCACTATGGAAATTATCTTTAGTTTCCTTTAATTTTATGAAAAATACTAACATTTAACTAGTTCTCTCATGGTAGAGATGGTAATTAATAAACATCCAGTATGTGTATTTAGTAGACAAAGAATTCATAGACTTGGATTCTAGATTTGGCTAAGTACCAACAAGCCTTGTGATTTTGCATTATTTTTTTTTCCCCTGGCCATAGTTTGATCATTTTAATAGTAAGAACTTTAAGTCACTTTTATTTCTCATAATTTAAAATATAATAAAGTAAAACTACTATAATATTTCAGAAAGTTTTCTGGTAGGATTTGACTTGTCTTAATGTTTTACTTCTGTTTTTATTCTTTAGGAAGAGCGAGCAGAAAAATAATCTTTTTTCTTTCTTTTCATAGAAGTTATGACCCACTCAAAACACAACCCAAGAAATATGCCAAATCCAAGTATGACTTTGTAGCAAGGAACAACAGTGAGCTCTCGGTTCTAAAGGATGATATTTTAGAGGTAATAGAATTTTTTCTTCTTTATACTCTTAATAAAGTAGTTTTATTATATTACTGTTTTGGTATATAACTAAACTTTCCTTCAAAATATTATATTACTAAAGACGTATATTAGAGACCTACGTCTATTTAGAAGGTATTCCTTCTAAGGGGGTAGCTTTAGAATATTCCTTTGGTTTTTGTAGGGAGAGAAGGGGGTGGGTTTTTTAACTTCTTTGCCCTCTTCCTTGCTCTCTTTCTTCTGATATTCATTCATTTTGGAGTCAAGGCTAGTTATCAATTCAGATGTGGATGCACATAATAGTTCAATAAGAGAAAACATTTTCTTTTTTTATCTGTGCCCTTGCACAAATGTACTCAGCAGTCAGTGAGCTAATGTTATTGGGGATAGTCCACCATAGCACCAACTTCTCTTTGTTAGGTTCTAACTGAGAGTTCATCTTGAATATATAAGGTGGATTGTCACAATAAATTTTGCAAGAAAAAGAGTCATTTTTCTATACTTTTTCTATCACCAAAATGGAGACAATGAGCTTTCCAAAAGAGTCATTTTAGTGCTCTTTAAGTACTTCAAATATGCAGACCATTCTTTGGAGGTAAAATTAACCTTGGGTAGATTCACCATAATGATACCTTGCCTACTGTATACTCATGAATGTCTTTCTTAGTGTAATTCATGAGAATCATTCAATCAACCCTACATTGACACTGAGTCAATTATCAGAAGTGGAAACATTTTCTTTGTTGAAGTTTAGAGAAGTTCCTTCTTAGAATGGCTTTTATATGGAAATTATACCTGTATTTTCTTGCATATAACAGATACTTGATGATCGAAAGCAGTGGTGGAAAGTTCGAAATGCAAGTGGAGACTCTGGATTTGTGCCAAATAATATTTTGGATATTGTGAGACCTCCAGAATCTGGATTGGGGCGTGCTGATCCACCTTATACTCATACTATACAGGTAAGCATGATTTCTTTGTAAAATGTGATGTGTACACATTTACAAATTTATCACTCTTAAATAGGATTCAAACACCTTTGTGTATAGATCATTTTGAGATGTAGTTGGTTATACATTTTTTCTAGAGTAATTGGTGGGGGGTGGGCAATGGTGAGAGACACAGGGAAAAATTATACATGTGTTTTCTGATTTACTTCTAAAAATTGTTCAAAATGTTTTTCAGTAGGTGCCCGATTCTATGAATGCTTTTTCCCCCCAATCTATAGTTTTTCTGACATTTGGAGAAATGGCATTTCTGTCTTTTTAACCCACAGCTGTCCTATCCACCAGTAGCTTCCTCTTGATAGAGGATGGCACTGAGATCATGGCTTGATGTCCAGCAGTTCATCTTCACCAGCCTTTGCCTTCAGTCTCTTAAATGTTCTGCCACTGAGCAGCTTTGAACTTGCACTCATCTCACCTTACACTAATATATGAGTACTTGTTCAGTTGTATTACAATATTTTTTCCTCTTTTGATTCTAAGATTAAAATGTACTTATGATGTAGATTAGATAGGTCAGGCTCTCTCTTCTTGATCATTGAAGGCCCATGAAGGTCTATTCTTGAGACCCATGCCACATTTTCAGAATTTCAATGAACCTGATCAGCTCACTCACCCTAACATCTGAATTAACTTGCTTTTCATCAGGGATTTTAGACCTGTGACAGGCTCTCTAGAGTCAGGTCTGTAAACAGAGACAGAATGGATGGACTCTCTGGTATAACCTGTGAACCAGGGGTGGCTTCTTTTTTATTCCCCAAGAAAGAATTCTTTTAATTTTCAAAGTCTCAAGAAAAAGTTCACATCTGACCTCATAATAATGTCATGAATTTGAGTAGAAGCTGCATGGAATGTGCAGTGAAATAGTTAATTTTTATGCCAGATCTAGGCTTAAAAAAATACAAGTAGTCTAAAGCTGGAATTGTGATCATACTTCTGCTGCCATGACAATTTATTTCAGTACTTATGGCTCCTCATGGTGCTCGTGCCTGGTGTCAGTCCTGTGCTTATCCAGATGGACTTGGCCTTACTAGAATCCATGAACCAAGCAAATATTCAAAATAAAGAATTCATATATAGTTTATCTCAATAACTTAAAGTGATGGCAATGGAAACTTTTTGCTGTATTATGTTTTGGCTGGCCTGATGTGCATATATATTATGTACTTATTTTATGTTCATCATTTGTCATTAGCTGTTGATGCCAAAGAAGGAGTTTGAGTTATTCAAGGTATGGTCTCTTCCATTTCCCATGGGTTTTTGAAGTGAATTTTCTTAGTTTTTATACCTTTTTCTTTTCTGAGTTTCTACTTTTCTGAGTGTAATATCTGTTTACCTAACATAATGTAGGCTTCTGTCTGGTTCATGAATACCAGTCATTCATTTTCTTTCCTATAGAGGTAGTATATGCTTGAAACCTATATTTAAAATAATGGTAGAGTACATACCTTTGGGCTGGATGAACCAGTTTTAATATGCAGTTCATGCTAAGCTATGAGAAGCACTGTTCATAAATGACATCCCTGATTCCCATATGTGAGCAGAAGGCAAGAGTTTATATTTTAAGTGTTGAAAACAATTATCCAAATTTGTTTTATTTGTGTGTGTGGTTGCTAAGAATAAGTAAACTTTGATAAAATAAAATATTTAAACATGCACATAGTATCAATTCTATAGTAAGTATTTTCTCCCACCCGATATTTCCTAAAGAGTTTAATATCTTTTACCTTTTGCTTTTTATGGTTCAGTCTTGTCTTTTTCTTTAATTCTGATTCTTGGCTTGAGCCATAAGTTGACTTTTCTTTAAAGGTTGTTTCTGTCTAAAATTGAACCAAAACTATCAATATGCATCACAGGCAGTGAGCGTACTGTCAGAGAATGTCGAACCTATTCCTCCTTTCTTAAACAGAACCTCATCTTTATTTTTGTCAACTTTGGCACAGCCAAGAAGTTTTTTTAAGAGTTCACAAGTTTCAGGAGTTTGTTTTGCTACTTTATGTAAATAGAAACTTGTGGTTCTTATAGGGATTGCCTATTTGAGTATTTCGTTTTAAACTTTTCAGCACTATCCTACTATCTTCTAAAAAATTCTGGTTGCAACTACAGATGTAGCGGTGTATGTAGAAATGTGTACAGAAGCTTTCTGTATGTATGCATAAGCGTATGCTGTTCAGGTTGAGAGCCCTGCTTTAAAAATATATTAAAAACAAGCTGCCTTTTAACACCTGAAAATTTTGGGCTGAGCTCAACAAAACCACTAAGACCTTGTAAAATTTTAATAAGCAAGCTTCACAGTCTGCTTTGCTGTCTGCTATCTGGCATAAATCCTACTCTAAAAGGATTCCTGTTCCCAAAACATTTATAGCATATTCTTTTGAAAAAAGAATAGAGTAAAATGGAAAAGAAAACATCCTTGGAAATATGTACCAGTCATTTTTATATCTCTACGACAGTGTCATCAGATACCCATATCTAAAATGTCTAAGGAAAAATCGTGCAACTTATTGCAGAAACATAATTAAGATACCACCATATTTATATAGATTCTACTGATCCTAATACCCTAACCTTATAAAACTCAACGGGATTACAATTTTATGTCTTATCTTTTTATTCACTCATTCCACAAATACATATTGAGTACTGGCATCTCACACACTTGTTAAAAAGAACAATAGCCTAGCACTGAGCAGATCCTTCCGGAAAGCCTGCATGAGTCCACAGGTTATTTCCCATAGCTTTGCTCCTTCCTACATGCTTGCTGTATCAAGAGCAGCGTGATCCTCTCTCTCCTCCTCAGAGATAGCCCACACACTTGTTTTCCCTTCCATCTATGTCTTCCATTCAATGATATCAAAACTTTGAAGAAATATAAAGAAATTTCTAACAGAAATATTTTACATCCCTGTACCATGCTGCCAGAAGGCAAGCAATGATTCATTACTTCAGTTTGCTTCACCTTCACAGAGAGCAGCATTCACAGATATCCCACTCCAGAGAAGATATGCCAGTGGCCTGTGGTCATTCTGTGCCAGGCATCGTTTAAGCACTTCACAAATCCAAATTCATTCAATTTCCACAACAACCTTGTGAAGGAGGCACATTTTTCATGGGAAACTAAGGTGTAGGAGAAATAACTTGCCTGGATTTATACAGCTGTATGAAGCTAGGATTGGGGCCCAGCACCCTGGATCCAGAGTCAGTGTTGTGTTGCTTTCTGCTGTTCTAGAAAATACTGGATACAAAAGCTTATCATTTCAGGTGGGCACAGTGGCTCACACCTGTTATCCCAGAACTTTGGGAGGCCGAGGAGGGCAGATTACTTGAGGTCAAGAGTTTGAGACCAGCCTGGCCAACATGGTGAAACCCTGTCTCTACTAAAAATACAAAAATTAGCTGGGCTTGGTGGCACATGCCTATAATCCCACTTGCTTGTTAGACTGAGACAGGAGAATCACTTGAACCCAGGAGGCAGAGGTTGCAGTGAGCTGTGATCCAGCCTGGACAACAGCATGAGACTCCATCTCAAAACAAGAAGAAAAAAAAGAAAAAAAAATTATTTGTCATCTCTTTTTGTTGTGTAAATCGGTAGTTTTTTTTCTGTATGAATGTTTAAAGTGATGTTTTCTCAGAATGGCTTTACTTTGCATTATACTGTGAAAAAAGTTGATCCGATCAGTCACAATCCTTGGAATTTGACTTTTGCCTTATGTATCCATTCCCTGGATTTCATGGTTTCTTTCGTTATTTTATAATTTAGGAAAATAACCCAAATTATATGATTTACTTAGAATAGGACATTTTGTAAGTGGTGGAAATAAGGGAATTAGATATAAACTATTTCCATGCAACATCTGTGAGTCACCAAATATTTAAAAAATGGACACAGTCGTGACTCTTATTTTTATACCCTTACATTTCCTGTAAAGAAGTATATAGAAATAATGGCAGTTTCTGGGCAAAGGGCACAAGTGCAGCTCTTGCCTATTATTCACACACTTTTTGTCAGAGATTCTGTTCTGATAAAGGGATGCTCATACCAGGCACCACCAGTGAATAGGTGTTGAATTGCCACCTGGTGTCCCTGAGAGTCCAGGCTATTTAATATCCTCACATTTGAGGTGATTTTTAACAGCTCTGTGAAGACAACCATTCCCACCTAGTGCATTTCCCCCGTGGCTTCAACAAAGTTTTAAACATAGAAGAGAGGATAACAAAAATTTACAAAAAATATTGACATAAAAGACTTAATAAACCACAGAGAAAAGGAAGTAAATGCTGAGGAGAGGTTATAGAGAATAACATGTCTTTTGATAAAAATTTTGTTGTAGAACATTCCAAGGCTTTGTAGCATTGTAGCTGGGCAATGGATTGACATCCAGGATGCTTTCTCCCTACCTGGAAGCTACTTGCCACATAAAGCTTCCTGATTTTTCTTTTGACTTGATTCCCTGACCTCTAGCCCTCTGACTGCTCATCTGCTAGAAACCCATTTAAATTTGCAAGCTATATGCCAAGAGCAGAAACCACCTCCTTCTCTGATCTTATTTCTTATATATCCAATGGACTGACTAAAAGAAGTCTTTCATTTATTCTTAATTATTAAGTCTGTGCATTTATTATTAAGTATTCTTAATCTACCAAGATGCATGTAATTATGAATGTCCAGTCTCTGTGGTCTTGTGAATTCAACAAAACGTTTCCCATATTCTCTATTTTCTAGCATGAGATATTGTAATATGATATGGTGAGAAAAGCCCCAATCTAGGTATTGGTAGATAAATGTTCTAGTCCTGGTTCTGTGTGGCCTTAAAGAGAGCATTTTATTTTTCTGTGCTCCAATTTGCTTGGTCATGAAATAGAAGGAGTCAGTTAAGTGATCTCCACAATCTAGACTAGGTGTAAAATCTTCTCATTCATTATATACATGTTTAAATAGCCCTAAATTAAAAGTGGAAATATTTTCTACTGGTGACTACCAAACCACTAACACTACTAATTTCAGCCTATGTTATTAACGCTCTGTTTTTTCAGCTCAGTCCAGTCATTTAGATACTGCTGGACAGAGTGACCATTTTACCAAAGATGGCTTCATATTCTTTCAGCCAGACCAACCTTCTGTAATTCTTCAGAATTGTTTTTTAAAAATTAATCTCAGAAGACTCTGCTCATTAATTATAGGTGTGGTTTTTAGACAAATATGTTTACTTTTATTCTGCTACATGTATTGATGTTTTCCCAGAGACTTCTTGTGATAATTTATATAATACCCACTCTAAATATATATATATCGTTTATATATATATAAAGTATTGATAATTACTGTCCAACATGCACATGTACATAATTTTATTAAATGTTCTATGTTTCCTCAGGCTGCTTACAAAATTCAAAACTAAAGCTCAGTAAAATCACATGATAATGCCTACAGTATTACCTTTTGTAAACTCAGCTAATTAAGCAAGAATTACTCTTGTGTTTAATGAATTCTAATTGTATTCTTTATGAGCAATAGGAGTAAAATAAACCTATACCTTAGTATTTTACTTTAATATACAAATAGTTACTATTGAAATACTTCATACTGTTTATACTGTAGTATAATCTATATGATTAGTTTTCCATGGCTAGATATTGATAGGAATTAATTATATATTTACAGGCTTCTTCACTGGTTGATTGTGGGCATGTAATTTTACTGTCAGACTAATTTACTCTTTCTGATATTTGAGGTGAATTATAATTGATATTATTTTAATTCCATTTCCTGTATTAATTTTCTCGTTTGATGTGATTTGCTCCATTTTCCTAAAAGCAATTACTTGGCGAGCTGTCAGAGGTAACCCACATTCGTTCCCTCATGGCACTTCTCTTTAATATAATTTTTTGGATTCGGTCTCTGGACTTAACACCCTCCAAATGTTCCAGCTGTGCTTAGTTTTCACTGCAGAGTTCCAAAGAAACCAAATTTAGTGGAAAAATGTGTAATTCAAAGTAGGTTAAATATTTAAGAACAATTCGATTTTAATGGCGTTGTTGAGGTTACTTGCATAATTTCCCCTCTGAAGCAGCATCTTGTATGAATCAGGAGCTTATCTCTCTGTAGCATTCTTTAATTCTTTAGAATTTCTACTCAGCTTAAGTTGCTAAAGTGACTCATTGCAACTTAATTATCAATAGGAAAGTAAATTTCCTATGAGGTCTAGTAATTCTGACTTCTTTAAGAGAAAGAGAGACAAAAAGAGAGATTTTGCTTTTAACAGAACTTTGTGTGTGTGTGAGATCACAGGCAAGAGTAAGGAAGTAACAGCGTGCAGAAGTAGATCCACACCAGGTCAACCCACCCTTCTAGTTCCTACTTGGGGAGTCTGAGGGGTTTGTGAGGACGTGGGACTTGCAGTGCTAATTACTGGGAAAGTCCCAGGCAAACCAAGGACAATTGGTCAGAATTCTTTTTTTTTTTTTGGATTTGGAGCTTCGGTACCTTTGGTTCAGGACAAAAAAGTTCAGAGTGCGCTTCTGTTCTCCAAGACATTCCATAAACTGATTTACACTGGAATCATTAATTCTGTAGCTTCAACAAAAAATAGCCAAGAGACAGACATGAGGAAAGGAAGAGCCGTAGCTGGGTGGTAGGTAAAGAGGAGTAGAGAAGCTAGGGAGGGACACGGAAAAGTGACGTTAGGAGTCAGTGCTGATTCTTTTTCTTCCACGTGAAGAATTACAAGCCAGTTTCCATGAAAGAGCTGTCTTGGTTGCCATTCAGAACCAGTTCATGATTCAAGGAAGGTACTTCCCCCCTTCTCATGTCAGAGGTTGGAAACATGGGGCAGGAAGACAGGACTAAGGAAAGAGGAAAATATGCAAGTAAATTGAATTTATGGCATGCATTTTCATATGGGTTTTCTTTAATCAAATATGTATTTTAAGCCTATTATTTTGTTAGGTTATACTGATAAAGTTGCATTATGTAACAATGACATGAATGAAATAAGGCACAGAACATTTGGTGAGTTTGTTTTCAGGCTTGATTGTGACAGTAACACAGTTTATTCACTTTCTCACAATAGTATTTGATGAATAGCAAAAGCAAAAATTATGAGTAATATCATGGAAAGCAGGGCTCATGGCATTTTTGTTTGTGTAAGCTTTAAAAACAATAACTGAAATTATGATGCTTTTGAAACACTAATGTGAGAATTCATTAGCCCTTTACGAAATTACATGCAGAGGACATTCTTGTCAAGGGAATGTTGCCTATACATTAATCAGATGACTTTGCTGTGTGCTAAGTATTACATTCTGGTGATGTTTGCTGTATTTTGACTGCTTTAAATATTTTATTGGCCCAAATATAGGAAGATCGTTTTGTGGGGAATAATAATAACAATTCATTCATTCTTTCTAATACAGTATTGAATACATTAGAAATATTTCTAAGCCTTGAATGCTAAGGGAATTAGCAACTCAGTTTCTGTCCCATCTAACTCCCTTCTTTTACTCTGAGAATCTTACTGTCTACTCCCTTTCCCTGCAGTCCTGCCTCTCTCTTCTTTGTCCTCCTCTTTCCCATGCCCTCCTTCTTCCCTCAGTATCTACCAGCATTATAAACACTCCCTTCAGATATGCCTTCACAATACTCTTCCCACTTCCTCAACCCCAGCCCACTGGTCAGTGAGTAGTAGCTTTTAGAGAAAGAGCAGAAAAAAATGAGGGCGCCTTCCTACACCGGTTTCCACAGGTGTCAGTCATTTGCCATGAAGGTGACTATGATGGAGATTGATGTGTTGTTTTGAGTAATAGTTTAATTAAAAAGTGATGTGTCTGTGTGTGGTGTGTATTTTTGTTTTTGATCTCTGTGGAAATTGGGAGGACTCTCTTAAAATCAATATTACCTGATATTTGGGCCATTTTAGAATTTAAAAGTAAATACTGTTCTAATCAAAGGACCAGATTACCAAAAGGTCTTTTTGCGTGTAATATGCCAATCCTAAATTAGAATAATTAAAATTGTGCCAGTGCAATATCTAAACTTTGCCTTAATTACAAATTATTGCCCTGTATCTTTGATTCTAAAAAGAAAATGTGCCTTTTGAGAATTTGGAGCCTCTCACAATGGATTATCTATTAAAATTATTTCATTTAAAGTGTTAACTATTATCTGTATTTTAATAAGAAATATGCACAAATACTGTTTTTTAAGTATGTCTAACAATCATGATTTTAAAATTATTGAAAAGCATTTTGTCATCCAGGCTCAGTGGCTCATGCCTGTAATACCAGCACTTTGGGAGGCTGAGGCAGGCAGATCACCTGAGGTCAGGAGTTCTAGACCAGCCTGCCCAACATGGCAAAACCCTGTCTCTACTAACAATACAAAAAATAAGCCTGGTATGGTGGCCTGTGATCCCATCTACTCGGGAGGCTGAGGCAGGAGAATCCCTTGAACCTGGGAG